GCAGAGAATAAGGAAAGTCCTGAGAAGTCAGCTGAATGGAAAGAACAAAGACCAGGCAATTAAAACCTACGCCCTGCCGGTCATCAGGTACCTCGCTGGCATAATAAGCTGGCCAAAGGACGAGATAGAGGCCACCGACATCAAGACAAGGAAGCTCCTTACAATGCACAGAGGGTTTCACCCCAAGTCCAGCATCCCGAGACTGTACAATAAACAGAAGGAAGGAGGCCGAGGATTAGTGAGCATCAGAGCCACTATCCAGGATGAAACAACAAAGATCCATGAATACATCAGGAAAATGGCCCTGAGTGATGACATGCTTAGTGAACACCTCAGGCAGCAGAAACCAGAGGAACAAGGGAGGGAAGAGCAGGAACCCTCATGGAAGGACAAACCTCTGCACGGTATGTACCAACGTCAAATAGTAGAAGTGGCTGGAATGTTCAGACTTCTCTTTGCAAAATAGATCCCGACTGAAGGGTTTAAACTCAAACTCTGTACAATAAAGCTTTAACGTAGAGAAGCAGAGTTGAGAAATCAAAGTCCCATGTGATGGAGTAGGACAGGAAGCTGCCTCCCCCCACAAACGTCTGAGTTAGATGGAATTTAGATTAGATTTACATGGAACGCTATAACCAAGTGGTCGGCATAGTGTACAGAAACATCTGCGCTGAGTACAGGCTAGAAGTCCCAAAGTCAAAATGGGATACACCTCCAAAGGTGGTTGAGAATGACCAAGCTAAGATCCTGTGGGACTTCAAGATACAAACTGACAAACTGGTAATGGCCAACCAACCGGACATAGTAGTGGTGGACAAACAGAAGAAGAAGGCCGTAGTGATAGATGTAGCAATCCCAAGTGATAGCAACATCAGGAAGAAGGAACACGAGAAGCTTGAGAAATACCAAGAGCTGAAAGAAGAGCTAGAAAAGATGTGGAAGGTGAAGGCACAAGTGGTCCCTGCGGTAATAGGAACACTGGGGGCCGTGACTCCCAAACTGGGAGAGTGGCTCCAACAAATCCCAGGATCAACATCTGAGATCTTTGTCCAAAAGAGTGCAGTGCTAGGAACAGCTAAGATACTGCGCAGGACCCTCAAGCTCCCAGTCCTGTGGTAGAGGACCTGAGCTTGAAGGAAGGAATACAAGACCGCCCCAAAGTGGGTGGCGAGTGGGGAATTCTTTTCCCCCCATGTATGTATGTATGCATTCTCTTACAAGCAGTTTTTCTTCTGAGACATGGTTATATCTTAGTTTACTAAGAAGTTTAAGCTTCCACAGGTTAACCACAGTGCACATTGTTACTGTGTATTTGATGTGTGCCAGCTAGCACTGCTAATAATTCCTCTTATTTACAATTCATCAATGAAATGTTTTCCCCACGCATTTTTGTTAGTGTCCTAGTTCCGTCCAGATGAACGCATTTCGCAGAAACAGTCGGTAAATGGCTATGCATTGCACTTTAACAAAGATGGGTATACAAACCAGACTCACATAACATTAGGCTATGCTAAACCAGCCACATCGTTGCAACAGTCTATTCTCTTATAAAAGTAGATTACGGTGTTTGAAAACACTTATATGAGGCATGTCCTAGTGGGTTTTGTTGTCCTTTTCTCCCTGTTCTACCCTTTGCCCAATGGGTTCAACTTTAATGTACATCCATGCATCGGACAGTGTCACCACTGAAGTAGGAATTCCTCCCGACCACAGGGGGATGTAATGAGCAAATTGCTGATTAGCACACAAAAATGAGGCAAAGAAGACAACAAACCAACAGGGGCTGTGGCTGCCTTCTATTATAATGTACTGTACACTGGCTGGAAAAAAATAAAATATAACAAGATCATTAACCTCCACCAAGGTACAACATTCGCTCACGCAAATGGGTCCCTTGTGAAAAATTTGATCCAGAATTGCACTCCTAAAATCCTTGATCTTGTTTGGATCCAAATAATTTTTTAGGGTATGATAGGCAGTTAATACTGTGAATCTTCAGTCCTAGGCAAGTTATTGCAGAAAATGTGTTAAACAGGGTTTTCAATGTTGCATTTAAATGGCTATCTGGATACAATTTGGTTTGGTGATAGATATTGCCACCCTAGATGGGTGTCAAATTGTAAATGATTTCAATAACCTTTAAAGATAAATTTTTAAAATCTTGCCCCTCGTTAAAGATGACATTTCTGTAATGTTTTTGTTATTTCTTGTGACTTTGACCTTTTCCCACCAAAATCTAATCACTTTTAGGGTTGGTCCCTACCAATGTCTGTACCAGGTATGCTGATGATCCATCTAGCCATTTGTCCATAATTACACACAAAAGCAAAAACATAACCTCCTTGGCGGACGTAAAATAAAAACAAAGGCTTAACTAGAGTCTTAGTCGACAAATGGCTCAACTATTAGGGGACAGCCTTAGAGAACTCAACCTGAAAATGTGGAAAAATATGACTACATTTCAGGTGTTACCTGGTTCTTCATTGCCAACAGAGTCTGCTTCAGAGTTCCTGTGGTAGTCTGTCCACTTTTATAAAACTCTACAACAGCTTTATTCATGGAAATCTTGTAGTCGTCTTTGTTGAGCTCTTGTAGGGCTTCAAGGTGTTTGAGAGACTCATCATACTTCCCAGCCTGTGAGGAACACAAGGGCCTGTTTCACCAAATTTGCAACATGCAATCTGCAATTTGCAATGCAAATTTCTTCATGTGTTAGTGCAGATTCTCAGTCATCCAGGTCATAGTAAACTGAAAAAACTTAGAAAAAAATCAACTGGACTAGATTTCTAGGTCAAAGACGTTTCACCTCTCATCCAAGAGGCTTCATCAGTTCTGACTGACTGGTGTTGAGCCAGAAATATTTATCTCCTCGGTGGTGTTTCAGTCCTTTGAAGGCCAACAATGTCCCTTAACGACAGAGTTGTTATAGCCCAGTATCGGTGAGAGTCGTTACCTGTCTTTGAATCCTCCCCTTAACTATAAAAAATAGCTTCCTTAACTCCTCTCTCAAACCGGCAGAGACCAAAATGGCGTGTCCATTCATAGAGGATCCTGTAGATGAGGACGCTGTATTAATTCGCAGGGAATTGCATTTACGTCGGGAGAGGATATTGAGGCCACGAGTTGATTTTTTGTCATATCCCCATGTATTTGGGCAGCTATTTTCCCCCAAGCTAACTCTTTCTCTTTCGCCGCTGCAGCCGTGTTGTTTTTTTTACGAAATATGGGCTCGTAGTCACTATATGCTTGTAGTAGCACATCCATTTCTGTCGGGGAAAAACGCAGACCTATTTTGGCTTGGTCCTGTTGCCATGGTGACTCGTAATTTCTTCACTCCATTGTTCAGGGCTTTTTATAGTCGCGTGGCACGCGCCTAACTCTGAGTCAGACAACTCAGAGTTGATTAAACCAACTCTTTTCAGCTGTTCTGAAACCGAAAACTCCGAGTTTTCCAACTCTGAGTAAGTCAACTCAGAGTTCAGGTTTGAACTCTGAGTTTGTTAAACCGCCTTCTTGAAATAGGCCCCAGGACAACAGGCATTGGTCGACGGGAGGATTCAAAGACAGGTAACGACTCTCACTGATACTGGGTGAGCAGAGGGAGAACACAGGATGTGAAGGATAATCAGCCAGTAATGGAGACTAGATGAGCAGTTTATCACACAGCTGTCTAACAAGCAGAACACAAGCTTGCTTTGTCCATGGTCCACTTGCCTAAGTCCCTGTTTTACCACTAAACCAGTGAGTGAAGTCCTCATTTCAACCAGTGCTTACATACCATGTTTGCAATGCTAATAGTTGAGGTATGAAGATACTGACATTTAAAGAACCCATGGTATGCTCATTTTGCTAATTTCCAGCCATTTAATGTTTAATCTTGGGTACCTCTAGGTTATCTTGGCACCCCTCATAGTCTATATTTTTTTTTAGAATAAAACCAAAAAGCCTCTTCCTAAAAATGAGAGGATAGTTTGTGAACATGCACAACTCCTGCTGCCAGTGCCGTTTCGAAAGTGGACAGCACAATGAACTGCAATGGAATTAATCAATTTGAATTTCTCCTCCATAGATAGGTAAACAACGGTATATGTACCGATACAAAGATATGCAACACTCTAAACGAAGCAGGTAATTGAGAAACCCCATATTTTAACTGGCATAATGCAGACACAGTAATTTCTCCAGCCTTGTGACAATTCTCTTTAACGTTACAGAAAGAGCACATTAACAGACATGCAATGTGTGTGTTTTTTTTTTAATTTACCATTAAGTCCCACTGAGTAGTGGAAACATCACTCCTTTTCAAGTAGCTTCAAGGTTGGTAAATCCAACTGGTGGTTGTGGCGTCTTCCCCGATGCAACCACATACATTGCCAAAGTACTAAAATTAATTACAAACAGGTAGCGTAGCACCGACAATAACATCATGGATCATTATTCGCTCGTTAACCAGCAACACATCACATGCAGCAGACACACTGGCACACTCAAGCAGTGAAAACAGACTGTGCTGCTGGGGGAATCCAGTGTCGATTAGGTGATCATTCACTGCCCAGGGTGCTTCATTGGCCAGCTGCTTGTAGGTTAAACCCGGGTAAAACAAGAAGTCCTATACAGGAACCATCCTGTATTTTTCTCCACATCCTCTGGTCACAGTGCAGCAGCAGGAGGTAAAATATATCCACAAAACTGGGCAGTCGAAAAATTCTGCTTTTACAATGGCACCGTGGATGCTTTTATTTTTGTTTGTTTTAAATAAGCTTTACTGAAAATATACATTAACAAAGTAATATAACATATTCCCAGTATGTTGGGGGCACTGGTGGATATCAGACAAACTCAAATGAACGTGCAACTGCCTGGATTTCATGCCCATTCAATGAAACCCTTAAACTATCATGTAATACTTTATTTTGTTAGAAAAAAAGAGGACAAGCATGTCATGGGCTCTTTAAGTGATCACAGGCAACAGCTCTGTACACATGCATCATCTCCCTACTTGCATCCCTGGAACTTTATTTTAGTACTACTTCCTGTGAAATGTAACTCCCAGAATGCACCTCCAAAGCAGGCAGATGGCAGCGGAAACAAATGCAGAACCCATGATGAGTGTTACTTGGCTCAACACATTTCAGTAGGTTCCTTTGTTGAATTCATGGAAAGCATAAAGTAGATTTAATATTTTCATTGTTGTTTTTAAACTTAAGCTTCCACATCTGCAGCACAGGTTAATGTATGTCACAGTGCAATGACAAAATCAACCACAACACTTCAGCTCAGCATAATGTCCATGGTTTAGTTAGATAGCTCATTTCTATTAATGTCAGCATTGTTTCCACTGGATCAAAGTTTTGCATCGGAGTAATGATTAAGCTTGATTTATAGTTCTGCGTTAAATCTATGCCGTACCTACAGCATAGATAATGTGTGGCCTTGTACTCTATGCCATAGCCTGACATGCACTTCTCCAGAAATGTAACTGCATGTCGCAGCTGTTATTATTTGCATCACATTTCCTCATTCATAGACATGAGGGTCAGTAGCCGGACAAGCACAGAAAATCCTCTCTCGTTCTGCCTCGGTTGTACAGAGTCTGATGTAGGGCTGGGCGATATGGCCCAAAATTCATATCCCGGTATAATTTTTACGTGTCACAATATATCTCTTATATCCCGGTATTTCCTTGTACACAATGTTCAGTTAAATTCAAAGTCAAAAGGCATATGTGATACTATAAGAATGTTTATTAACAGTTTTAGAACTGAACATTTTAGAGCTAAGACGCTAAGTTTTTCTTGTTTTTAAACACTCGCTGGTGTAAATGTCACTGTTAAATAAATAAAAGACAAAATAAAGTCCACTGCTGTGCAAATAAACAATTTTGAATAATTAGGAAAATAAATATTCAGCTATTAATGTCAATAAAATAAACTGAAAGGGGATGTCTTAACCATTTTAACAACATAAATAATAAAATATGCTCTTTTATGACAGGACTGTTGTGCTAATAATAATAATCTTAACAAAACTTTTGTAACTTAACATGAAAAGTTATATTTCCTGTAGACACAGGTAGATTGCTTGTAAACTCTCTTACGGTTTTTTTGCAAGAAAAACAAGCCTGTCAATAGCCAAAATTCAGGGATGCCATGTGACAAGTTACAATATTTCCACTGCAACTAAAGACTCTTTCTGAAGGGGAACTGGTGGCTGGGATGGAAAGATATGTCTTTGCCACGTGACTCAGGGATGGAAAGACCACTTCATGTTCTTTCCACCATTTGAGGGGATCTGTGTCACTCTCCACACTGCCAGACTGCAGGTAACTTTGGAGTTCAAGTTCAACTGCCTGACGTGGTTCAAGTGTGGTGCTGCTGCTGGTGAGTGTACTCTCAGAGAAGAAGCTTGCCAGTGACCTCTTCTTCTTAGGTGCTGGTGGTGGCAGTGGCACTGCCACTTCCACTTCCAACTCTTTTTCCAGAGCCCAAGTTGAAGTGGTGGGCAGACTGCTGCTATTAGCAGCCAACAGAGACTCGACCTCCGAAACAACTTTATGTTTCAGGACCTTAGTGTTTTCTTCCCACAGATATTTCATCCTGAACCATCGATCCAAAAGAGAGGCCGTATCCAACAGGTCACAAATGGCTGGGTCAGCATACTTTGCATTGAGGTAATTCACAATGCGGTTCTTGATGGATTTGCAGAGCTCACTATCACCATCTTCATCTGCCAGAAGATTTGTTTTGAAGAGGTTCAGCACAGGTTTGACATATGAAAGAGCGACATACTTCTCACCTGAAAGAGCATCGGTAAAGTCCTGAAGAGGTTTCAGGGCCTTTTGGACTGCCTCTAGAACATCAAGGTCTTGCCATGTCGGGACAAGATGCCTACACTTTTTGTCAGCAGACAGGACTTTGGAGAGTGCTGATTCTTGCTCTAGGACCC